TACTGCAAAAGGTTGCAGAACACGCTTGAGATCTACCAAAAACAAGTTTTGTAGAGTAAAATATAATTCTACGTTCAATCCTATCCAGGTTTGACATTTGAAGAGCTTTCTGTTTTTTGCTTTTTGTGAACCATGTTTCTGTTCCGTCTTATAATATCATCACACTTAAATGCATTAGTGACAAGTATTAAACATATTAGCCCCCCACTGTCGGTGGGGGGGTGTTTTGGGGTGTGGTGTTGCCAGAACTTTAGCTTGAAGAGGACTTAAAAGAGTGATTCTCAAAATATTTGCTGATCAACTAAATCGATTTGTTTCAGCTGTATTTATTTTACGGTATTGACTGTATTTTCCCCTAAAGCAGACACACTTTCTCCACATGCTCTCTCCCAAATCCCTTAAAGCATAACTTACCCCTCCTAAGGATTTGATCTGTGCCAAGTCCATTAGCCTAATCTGAAAAACAAAAGCAGCACTTAGTTTGCTCTCTCTCTTAGTCTCTCCCCGCACACATGCACACATACACGCACACGCTTCACATCTTCCATCAGCACATTCACCAGTGCCCTGCTGTTATCTGGGGGATGTGATGTGCCATTTCTCTTTGAAAGCACTGTCACAGAACGGCTTATTTCACCAGTCCTCCAGACGCGGGGCTCTCTGTCTCTGGCAGGGTTTTTCCATCCAAGACAAAGAACAGAGCTACCCAAGCCTTGATGCCTGGCTGTCTCATTAGGAACAAGACAACAGAGGTAACACAAAAGAGAGATCTATACAGTCCAGTGAAAAGTGCAAGGGTGGGGAAAATGAGCATCATCTGACCTTTTTATTTTGATCTTTGTTCATTTTTGCTGCTGATGTATCTATAGTATAAAAACATTGTCACATGAAAAGTTCAGTTGGTGAGCAGCTTTTTTGGGGGCAGGCTTATAAAAGATTGCATGTCACTTACAGCAAAAATACATCAACAAGTAAATGCACTCTGAATTGCCTTGTTGTTGTTTTGTGAGTGTCAAATATACCGTGAGGAGTCGAGGCAGAATATATTGACTGGCAAAATATGATCAGCAGCAGCAGCTTGTTTGTGACAGAATTTCTGTGTTTCAGTGAAACCACATGCCTCCATCCATCAGCATGTTGAGCAAAAACACTAAAAACAGCTCTGCTTAGGTTTTTCTGACAGAAATACTGCCGTTCCTCACACAATCCCTACACAGCCACCTGAAGAGTAAACATACAGCACATCTTGCAGTTAAGGGCAGTTTATAGAGTAGATACAAACCTGGTAAAACTATGGTGTTTCCAAAGCATCCCTAAGCACCTCTTATATAACAATATGTTTACTTTGCTGAGAACATTTATTTGGAAAAGCCAATGATGTGGGCAAACTGTACAGTTATACATAGCACTACTCCTTCTGTCCATCATCTAAGTTTCCATTTCATTTTAAATTTAATTCACAAACTCACACCCGACCCTTTAATAATCTGCAAACTCTCTGTTAACTCTGTGTCTGCTCTTCATTGGGCGTAGCCTATTGTATAGAAACTAATGGAACGGTTATGTAAGTCTAGATCTGGTTAAATAAATTGTTGTTGTTTTTTACTGTCCTGATAATATAAGCAATTCCTTTCTTCCTTCAGACAAGCAGCTGAATTTTGTTGAGCTTAGTTATAGTAATTAGGATTCTGGAAGTGAGATATGTCTATGAAAGTCCCCTGGGGTCTTTTTATCTTGCAGGCACATTTTTCTCTTATTGCTTCTTCTTTTGCGCAAGAAAACTGTTCCATGTCAAATTGAAGCAGCTAAACTAACTACACAAACACCCGTCAGAGCACAGCAAACCAGATGTCCAGTCACAAGTGGGTACACATGCAATTTTTTCACATGACCCAACAGCAGCTTCTGTGTGGTGGGAATATATGCAACTGAATTCCTGTTAATACTGTGTGTGTTTGTGTGTGTGTGTTATGTAAACCTCATTATCTCTATCACTACATCAAATTCTTATCATTAAGCCTCTCTGAGATCATGAAGCATTTGAAGAAACATCAAAGTACCACACCAACTCACAAACACACACACAGCAGCCACATAAAGGCCAACACAATATTGTGTTTGGTGTTGATTTACGACCCCCTGTCTTAATAGGGATAAGTCTGGGACCTTGACTAAAAGATGTTTGATTGTATCCTTGAGCTTCCCCCGTCACAGCAGCTGCCTCATGAAAAATATATTTCTGTTCTGGCCACCAAGTTCACCAGTCCACCCCCTCTTTCACTCCCTCTCTTTCGCTCTCTCCCGCCTGATCTCACCCTCGACATCTTTCGCTCAGAACAGAAACTAGTTGCCATGGCTACAATCATTAACACATCTGGCATAGTTATCCGGCATTCACACAGAGCAAAAAAAAAACAACACACACACACACGGACACAGATGGACACACATTTGCACATGTACACACACAACAAACAAACAAACAACGCATATATGTGAGAAACATTAATATGCATCATTTTGCTGGGCTGTTTTCAGTTTCATGGCTGCATATCTGGAGCTTGTGTGGGAGAGATAACGGGCCGTGCCTCATTGGGGAAAATGCATTAACAGAGAACTTTGGGCCTCAGCGATAATCCTATTGGTGAACTTAACCCAACCTCCTTCATTTTAATCCGTTGGGAAATGGAGTTGATGTTCAGAAGAACTGAATGTTCATAACATTTTCTAAACTGATATTTAAAACTCTTGAATTAGAGTTTTAAATATCAGTTTAGAAAATGACCAATATCTGAATGACCATCACTGCCTCTGCAACGAAGAGCCTGAGCAATACTGGATTTCTGAGGCTGATACCAATATTAAGTTTTTTGCATAAATTCATTACATAAACAAACATTTGGATTAAGATCCCTTAACTGTTAACAGAATATGTAATGAGTGGGACATTTTATCAACTTTAATTTCAACTTGTCCCTGCTCTCTGCTGAACAAACTATATAGTGGAGATTTACTGGACCATTTCTATATTATATCTTAAAACGTATGTATCATATGTCTGTACTGCAATTTTCTTGTTACTTATTGACTGACATTTATACTAATATGCTAAAATCATTGATAATATCAAATGTGCTGGTCTGGCTGCCTTTTACATATTTTGGTTCCATAATGTCAAAGAAATAAACATCATGAAATATCTCTAAGATATTTTTCACATACAGCATTTTTCAAACAATTTATTTTTTATTCATACTGTTCAACTGCTTCATCTTGAAGTAAACAAGGATCAGTTTGCTCACATTTAAAAATTTTCAACAGCCCCTACACCACTAAATGTGTGACATTCCTTTGTGTCAACATTTCATTACTGAAGTCAGTAGTTTGAACATTTTGTCTCTGGCTGTCATTGAGGAACGCGACTGACAGCTTTACCACTGGGGGTGGCACATATCACAGCAGCCATCAATTATTTAATGGGAAAAGAATGAATTTCCTTCCCAATAACAGGTTCTCTCAGCCTTGTAAAACATATAGTGGCTATCTGTTATAACTGTGCTTGCTTTGCTTTGGTCTTCCCCTGTCCAACAAAATCCCTGATCTCAAGGGCCACCTCGAAATGTATCTTCAGAATCAGAATTGCCAAGTAGTGTTTTACACATCATCACTACATCACTACACGTAGACAAACATACAGTTGACATACATAAAATCTAGAAATATATAAATATGGAATAAACAATGCAAGTTATATAAGAATAATAAAAAGAATGGAGAAAATTAATATAACTATTTTTAGAGAAAGAACAACATCGTGTGTGCATTATTCCAGGTTTGTGTTTTGTAGACATATTGCAGCGGAAGAGAATATTGTGTACATAAATATATAAATTGACAATGTAAAAATATAGAACAACAGCGATTAACATTTAACAACAAATATGTGCAAGCCCCATCCAGGCGCAAATGATCTGGAAAATACTCTTTGTGTATGTGTGAAAGTGTGTTTTTTTGTGACACTATTTGCGTATGATCAGTGGTTTTCATCACAAAAACACATTCATCATAAGAAAGCCACACTGACACGACAGCATGGGAGGCAAAGGAGGCCAGAGACCTGTTTTAATAACGCTTATACCACAGGCATGTTCAAGGTGCTTAACCACAACCTGAAATTCCATTATAAGTATACACATTAGCACAAGCACCCACACAAACCAACATTTCACTTCATAAGTTAAAACATGTTTCTGTGTCTCCAAACACCATCAATTAAAAGCCATAATAACAACTCCTGAGGAAAACAACAGGAAAGCTATGCACACATTACATACATTGCATGTGTCTCAAATACACACACACGCACACACACACAGCTATAGAGGAGTTTGACAGCACACCAGATGTCTGCGAGGTGCGTGCATTCTGCTGCCCCCACCCCAACACCTGAGGACATCCCCTTGCCTCCCATTATACACATACTCCCTCTCGACTTTACATACCACTGCTCCCCCAGTCAATCACCCAGAGCAAAACAACCAGACCGACCAGTTGGATTGTAATAACTGATGACAGACAGACAGCATTTCAATGGGCTTTAGTAGCGCTTCAGGTGAGGCTAAACAAATATTTCTCCCGTGTGTCAGAGCTACATGCTGGCTTGTCAATGACAGACAAAAATGTTTAAACATTTGACAGTAAGATTCACAGACAAACAACCAGGTATACAGGCTGCACTTTAAATAAGTGAGTGCTAAAAAATCAAAACTTCAGAATCAGAATAAATGACTAAATAAATAAATTAAAAAACAATAAAAAACATGGTCAAACACACCTTCAGTCACTTTCCAAAGGATTCATCAACCTCACCCATTAATCTCACCTCATCCAGGAACCTCTCACTTCCCATACAAACACATAAAACATCTTTCGCTGAGCCTAAGCAGCAACTGAGCGAAACGAAACACACCAAGACAAAGAAAGTGCTTCCTGTCTCATACCTTTTTGCCTTTCTTCTTGCGATGGGCTGCTTTCCCGCTGCCTGCTTTCTCCTTAGCTTCCTCACTCATGTTCAGAGATCTCCCCCTGTTCCACTCCTCTCCTCACTTTGTTCTTTATAAATCCAGCATGTATGAGCTTGCAGAGTGGAGCGGCAGCAGCTGCTGTCTTTACTGGTGAAACGCTGCCACAGAAATGTCCATTTAGAAGCAGTGAAGGAAGGATTGTTCCATGCAGAGTGGGAGTGCGCGTGAAGAGAGGAGAGACTGGGAGGACTGTGCTGATGCTCTCTCCCTCCTCCTCCTCCTTCTTTTCTCCTCTTCCTCTCCACGTTCACAAATGCACACACTTGAAAGCACGCTTGCCGAGGTCCACTCCCACTTGCTGCCTTTGCCGTGCGCAATTGGCGACTCTCTCCGGCGCACTCAGAGTCAGGGTGTGGAGGCAGGAGCAGAGTTAAGAGACAGAGGCGGAGGAGGAAGATGAGGAGGTGGAGGAGGAGGATGTGTATAATGAAGGAAAGGAAGAATAAACAGAGAGAAGTAGACTGAAGGAGTGTACTTCTGGCTGGATGTGGTGCTGCCTACCTGAGGCTGGAGACTGGAGACACAGAGAAAGGAGGACAGAAGTCAGAAAAGACAGAACATTTTTGGGTCAGACACAAGGAAAGAGAAAGAGAGAAGAAAGAAGGGAAAGCATGTTAAATGGTGTTGGTGAAAGAGAGAAAGAGTGTAAGGCTGAAACAGATGAGGGGGGCGTGATCCACACAGTCTCTTCACTCTGCCGGCTGGGTGATTTCTGCTGTTGCTCCCTGCACAGACGTTGTGATATGAAATGAGACTCTTGACTCCTCTGACAGGCCAGTAGAGAGGCAGAGAAAGGGAGAGAGAGAGAGAGAGAGGGGATCATTAACACGATGCATCAGGTCCTTCCAGAAAAGGAAGTCTCCCCACAAGCCTTTGCCAGCAGGATCAGCTTACTGGAAACTGGAACAGAACTGCACCCGGCACTGACTGACTGTCTGGCGGACTGGGTTGATCGAGGTCTGTAAAAAGTGTGTGTGTGAGACAGAGAGACAGGCAGGGGTAGGGTGAGAAGGAGACATGCACAAAAAGATTGATAATATTCAAGCAATATCCAACCAATAACCATTAAAATGCATGTGTGATGACTCAACAGACAGAGAGAGACTTCGAAAAAGACAGGAAGACCACGCCTTCCCAGCTTCAACAAGCTATAGCTCTCCTCCAATGAAGCATCTAGCTAATGAGGCAGGAGGAGAGCAAGTGAATCAGGGAGAGGGGGAGAAAATGGGAACAAAAAGCCCTGGGTGACACAGAGGGAGAGATCAGAAGGAGGGGAGGGGTGAGTGGAGAGTGAGAAACAGACAGGAGAGAGAAAATGACAGAGGGTGATGGGGAGGGGTGAGGAAGGCAGGGCGAAAAAAAACCCAACAATGTGATATCAGTGAAACAGACAAACCAAGGAGGCATGGCGAGGATGAAAGAACAAATGAAAAAACAAATGAGGCAGAGGCACAGAGAGGCAGGGTTTGTTGTGATTACCCTCGAAACAACAGGTCCTTTATTCTGGGGATATACTGCTGTTAACCATCTCTCCCTCCCTCCTGCTCCTGACGAGCTGTATGCCATCTCCACCATGCTGTTTGGTGTCAATTAGGCTTTGACCTCCCAACAGAGAGATTTAGACCAGTAGCTGCAGAATTTTCTATTTTTCCAATGGAAAGACACAATGGACACACGCTGCATCCGCTCAATTTTTAAGTGGCCTCATCTGAAGCTGTAATATTTGAATTCCGACAACAACAATGAAACAAATATATTCCTGGTATGTGCTGAGCTGTATCAAACACAGCTACAGAAACACTCCACACACAGACACCCAAACACACATATACAAAATATGTGCCGTTAGCTAGTTAGAGAAAACATCTGCATCTCGTCCATTTGCTGGTTATGGCCAATAAAAACTGACAAACAAAAAAACAAAAAAAACTCCAGCAGTCAAACTGATAACGTACAGGCCAGAGCTGATGTCAGATTAAGGTGTTTTGATGTGAAGCAGATATGATTCACAATAAAAAGTAAAAGGTAGTTTCAGTGATGTCAATCTGAGTAAATGTAGTTTAGCTGGAAATCAGTTTAACTTGGTACTTTAATGGGAACAGTCGTCACTGGCAGGTCAGTTTCAAAATGAAATCAAATTAGAGACAATACAGTATGTTACCACACACCCTGGCCAAAAGACACAACCAGACTTATTCCATGAGATAACTGGGTAAATGTTTGTAGGCTTTCTGGTAGCAAACAGGAAACATCTCATTAGTGAAGGAAAATGGAGGGAGAGTGTGATGAATTTACTTCAATTTAGTTTACTTTCCCATCACCACTGGCTTTGCTGCTGTTTATGTACAGAAGCACTGCTCTGCGTCAGTTGCTCTGCAGTCATTCTAGTACATAATTTCAAACCATTGAATGAAATCACACTGAACGATTACATAATAAATGAATCAAACTAATACATAAATCAAACTAGTTAAACTGCTGTGATTGGGGCTTATTTATGATAATTATAAGCATAATGCACTTAAGACAATTAGAATACAGCATCACCTTACAGGGGTATTGCCTGAATTTGATTATAATCGAGTTATTACAGTGCATGTGATTACACTTAAATACAAGTCACCATATCAGAGAATCAAATGAGGGAGAGAGGAGGGAGGAGCTGTGCCACAGACCTGTTGATGCTGTAAACTGTACTTGTCTGCAACAAAAGCTGATATTGAATAAAATGCCATAGTAAAGAAGATTAGGGTGATTCAAAGATTCCTCCAAGTGTAGTATATGCACACATTAAATCAAAATATTGTATCAAAGTTGTCAAAGCTACCAATCTACTTGACCCTTCATAACAGGAGTAGGGCTGGGCAATAAAAAAATAACGCTAATTATCGTAATATAACTTTCCTCAATAACAATATAGCAAATATTTTTTCTATTAAGATGTTTATTTTGTTGAGGAAAGGGACAAAAGAGTTACTAATCATATTTTTTGAAAAAAGATGCTATCGTAATTGTTTTGAATGACACCTATACACACCACACACATATATATTATATATATATATATATACACACACACATATACATATATAGACATACATACATACCTATATATATATATATAGGTAGCATAAATGAGAAATCAGAGCTTGCAAAAGGTACCCTAGGTACATACTGAATATACACAGGCATTGAGAGAATTCATCCATCCATCCATCCATCGTCAACTGCTTGTCCTGCATACAGGGTCGCAGGGAGGCTGGAGCCAATCTCAGCTGACATCGGGCGAAAAGCAGGGTACACCCTGGACAGGTCACCAGTCGCAGGGCCACACATAGACAAATAACCACTCACGCTCATACTCACACCTAAGGACAATTTAGGGTCACCAATTAACCTAGTCCGCATGTCTTTGGACGGTGGAATAAAGCCAGAGCACCCGGAGAGAACCCACGCAGACACGGGGAGAACATGGAAACTCCACACAGAAAGGCCGGGGCAACCGCGACCTTCTTGCTGTGAGGTGACAATGCTAACCACTGCACCACCGTGCTGCCCTGGGGCAATTCACACAAATTCTAATTCAAATTAGCTTTATTGGTATGAATGTATAGCAACAATATTGCCAAAGCTACATAGTACATAAGGATAAGGAATTCATTTCGTACATTTCAATAGATAAGGAAATAAAACAGCAAAAGTTGTGTTTGTGTGTGTTAATACAAAATAAAATAATAAAAAATATATTAAATATAAAAATTCTAACGTAAAACAATAAGCATGTGTGTGTTAGAAAATGAAAATAATATATTAAATTAAAATAAATAAATAAAACAGTAAGCGTGTATGTGTGTTATAAATAATATAAAAATACATTTGGTACCAGTGACATATCATGTCCTCCAGTCAAGACCATCATCCTCCTCTCTGTCATCTCTTCACGCCACCTTCCCCAAACTACAACACCAAGTTCTCATAGTGAGGAGAGAAAGATTACACACTGCTTCACACATTAATCTGCAGCTGGAAATGTTCTCTTCACTCCCATTTTTTGTGACAGCTAGTGTGTATGTACAGTAAAGGTGATGGGGATGTGGTTGCTAACAGCTGATGTTCACTGTGCATACTATCAGTCACTGTAGTCCACCATGATTTACAATTCATAATAAAGGGTTTACGGTTACCATGTCATTTTTAATTACTTGGAGAAGGTCTAATGAGTTGATAGTAATTACAGTCATGAAAATTGCCATAATAGTACAGATAGTATGGATAATGATAACAATACTATTTAGCATAGTGAGGAATACAGTATTAATAATTTGATAATATAAAAAGAATGATAATATGGGCTTATTATTGTTTCCAGTCTGCATAAACATTTCCCAGGTAATTATTTGAAAATATGGGTTTGTTCATAAATTATATAGTACATAGCAACTTTACAGACTCCAGATCTATCATTATTTGAGTGTTGTCCTTGTAGCAATGACCAGACAATGTCATGGCATCAGACTGTGATCTTTTGGCTGCAGTAACATTTGCCATTAGTGTGACTTTGATCATCCAAATAAAGTCAGACACATAAAAGGATGCTCAGAAATCTAATTTTGCTCACATTGCTTTCAGACCTCCAAAACCAGAGATGGAAGTGGTCACAGATGAACAAAGTTGAGGACATTCACAGTTTATAAGCAATGAAAAGAGATGGCGACAAGTACAAAAAAGTAAGTAAAGCTGGGGCAGGCAGTGTGCTAATATAATTACAATGTCAATGCTAACATGCTGATGCTAAGCAGATAAAATGTTTACCATGTTCACCAGTTTAGCAACATCGTCTAATCTGTGCTTAATAGAAAGTACTACTGAGGCTAATGGCAATGCCAATAGTTTTGAAGGTATTTGGTCATACACCAAATTATTTGATAAACTGAAATGACGTGCATCACCAAAGTAAATGCAATTCATCTTGAAGGTTGCATTAATATGTGAACCAAATTTCACGGCAATATATCCAATAGTTGTTAAGACATTTCAGCAAAAACCCCAAATCAAACATGAATGTCTGTACAAACTTTCCCGACAAGATATCATTTAGCTGTTGATATATTTCAGTCTGGTAGTGGGGGAGTCACTGACAGACAGACATGGAGCCAAACCACTAGCATGGCAAAAAATATTGACATGTACATTGATTGTGCAGATTACATGTGTCCTTTCAGTAATACAGTGCAAGTTTCACATGAATCCAAGAAGCAACACTACAGAAAACCTCTACTAAAATGACTTTGGCAATGTGCATGTAAACCTGTAAATCTGGAAAGGAATCTCTGCCACAACTGTAACTCAGACATGTCAGCTACCCAGAAGAAAGCCACCCTATAAGCCTCCGCAGTGAAGTGTCTTCTCACATCCATCAAGCTGGGGATTGAAAGTCTCTGATCAATGTGCTGTATGCAGAGGCCAGATAGGGCCTGACGGACAACTCTACAGGGGGTTCCCATCTCTGGCTCACGATGGGAGGGGCTCCATCCAAATCAAGCGCCCCCTTCACTAGAAATCAATCATCACCCAAGATGAATGCTGCTCCCTTCATGAAAACAACCCTCCAATGAATCATACCAAGGTAAGCATCAATTTAATGGCCGCCGTAGTGAACAAAATAACAGTAGATAAAGCTTCTATCTTATTTCAATTCAACTTTTCAAATTGACTGGTATGTTTATCTGCAATCAATAAATGCAAGTGAGGTCATTATTACCCATTATTGCCTATGACAGCAGCTCTTGTTTTATGGCAGTAATCTAAAGATAATATGCTAGTAAAGTTCTCCACCCTGAAAATGTATTAACAATTTGTAAAATTGCATTTTCAAACAAAGTCAATCAATATGTTTGGTCATAGCGGCATCCTAGTGGCACGCAGATTGTTATTATAGCCACCATTCAATTGGCAGTAGCTGCCTGGCCT